CCCCCCCCCAGTCAATCAGAACTGGTTATTTTAATAGAGAAATATGTAATCTTCTGTTTTTAAAAAAGTGGACGGACACATGGAACATTAGCTACAGACCCAGTATGGGGACTCTAAATTTTGTATTTGTATTGTCTGGACAAGCATTTAAAAGTTGGGACAGGAACAGTTCCATAAGTAAAGAGAGTTGGTACCATTCACAATAATTTATTTAAACTACCTTTGTTGCCTGCATCTTCTATAATTTGGTAAACCAGCTTCTCTTGATTGTCAGAACCTTTCATTTTACTGTAAAATAAAACAGACATCAGGATTTTTGAAAGAAGATGGATTTGTTTTAAACTGAAAACACATACTATGAAAAAAACAATGCACAAAGGAAAAAAAAACCCTACACAATAAACCAGCCATTGGCAAATTTAATACATGACACTAAACTCTGGATCAAGCCAAGCTTGCCAGTGAGAAGCCACAGTAAAGAGAAAATAACACAGTATGAAAGAAAAGCGACTAAGCAGGAGTCACTCAACTTGTCCTAACAACGGGGAATTCGAAGTCACGTATTAACACAACTGTGGAAGGTCAAACGCAGTGCGAAGCATAATTTAGAATAATCTGTCTCTAGACAGAACGTCTACAAAGGGTAGTAGAGTGCTCCCAACTCTAAGACATGCCTTTTCACCAGCCTAAGAAAGCCTGAACTCAGCAATCTTTTTTTAAAACATTTGAAAGAGAGGATGACACACCTGCACTGGGGATAACTTTGAAGGATGCTTCTTTCCAGAACAATGTCTAGGCATCTTTTACTCAGATTTACACAGGCATCACAAGACATGGTTTGAAGGTTCATTTTAATAAATCAAAGAGCATGAGCAGTTCAAGTGGCCTCCTGGAACAGCTGTAAATAGGAGCGCTGACCCTGCAACATGAGCAGTGAGGAAGACCACAAAACTGTAGTTTGCAGATGGTATGGTCAGGCTTCAGCTGGATTTCACCTGAGCACATACAAATGTTTGCACAGATCACTGCTGCCATATGGACCAGGAACTCTGATAGCAAGTTAGAACTGTAGTCCCACAGCCCCCTCTGTTCAGCAGAAGCCACTGTACCTAAAACAGTTTTCAGGAATTGAGTGTACCCTCCAGAAACAAGCAGTCATGTTCTGTAACATCGATGTTACATGCATTCTCAGGAACACAGCACCTGAGTTGCAGAACTGTGTTCCAAATATATTTATCCAGCGAACACGAGGCTTACCTTGCATTTTGAGACTCTTTGATTCTATATAGGAGACCTGCATTGCTCCTGAGAAGGTCCAGTTGTCCCTAGGAGAGATGGGCACAATGCATTTATTTTCCTTCAAATAGCTTGTTTCAGAACATGACAAGAATCTTCTGACATTCTAAATTAAAAACCTTATTTCATGTCAACTGACTAAAGAAAAGGGAAAACTAACATTTCTAACCACTGGAAACAATAATACCCATGAGAATATTTTTTCCCTGCAAGTGCAGCAATACCCTTGAGAACACTTTTTTCCCCTAGCAGTATTCATTTATCATCAGCTATCAGAAGTAACAAATACAGTTCCCGTCCCTTCCCACACATCTACGTACCTCCTATTATTTCTCCTAACTTCCACCACTGCACAAGGAAGATCAAGTTCTTGTATACTTCGTTTTCCCTTTCCATCAAAACACTCATTTGCACAGCTACACAGATATCACATTGGAGCTCTACTGCACAAGTTCTGAACAATTATGAGTACCAGTAGCAAAAGTTCTATCTTTTACTAAGTAGAGACCACTGGAAAACTGCCAGCCAGGATTGGTAGTGCCTCTCAGAGGCAAATTACCAGCACCACTCACACATAAAACATTTGTTTTGCCCTTGACACTTCTGCCTAGGGCAGGCAAATTCTTATTTTCTATTTTGAAGAGGCAAGCAATTAGAGAAGCCCAACAGCATAACTGTGTACAACAGCATTATCTAACATTCCCTCTTTCACTGACAGCCAATCACTTCCCCATAGTTACAGCCTTGTTTCTCACAGATATGCATTATGTGGTTGATTGAGGCTCACACCTCAAGATGAGGCCCTTCAATGCTTTTCCACAGATGAAGTACTTGCAGCTTATCTCAAGTGAAGTACCTGATGCTTATTAAGGCTGAGCTCTCACTGCAGTTCTTCCCCATGTTTGAGGTACTTACTAGATCTCCCCACACCCCCCCCATGCCCTAAGGCATCTATTTTAAGCAAATTCTAGAGACTTAACTATCTTTGAAACCTCACTGTTAGCTAAGCCATTCAAAAGTTATTGAACACAAAAGCTCACATCCAATGTCCTGATAAACTTCAAATCTATAGCAGAAAGACCCAAAAGAGATTAGATCAGCTCCAGTGTCACCTAGTATGGTCCAAGCTAAGAAATTTCAGTTATTAAAAAAAAAACAAACCCAAAACACCACACCTTGCTGTTTGGATACTTTCCAACACCCCTTTTTCTGAGAAAGCTTCTCTTTTCAACAGTGCTCTCTACACTGCACCACTTGGTCTGTTTTATCTCCTGATTTCACATGCCCATGAAGCAGCTAGCTAGGGAATGAAAGGAATCTTGATCTTTAAAGACCTTGGACATTTAGCTGATACTCATGTTTATGCCACACTGAACCAGCAAGACTAAACAGCTACTCTCTGTTCCTGAAGTGGCAGAAGTAGTTGACAGTGATCCTCACTCCTATCTTATTTAGTCTGACTCCTGATACAGTAAAGGAAAAAGCCCAGTGAGATGTGGGAAATTTATAGAAGATGCAAAAAAGGCCCTGAGATGTTTCACCTGCTTATTATCAGAGTAATCCAATAATCTTTGGATTTTGTGAGGGGTTTGGAGAATACCTTCACATATAAAAGCACAAGATAACATCAATTCTTTTATCTCTAGCTAATTCATTCTCCATCATTAATGGGCCTTGTGGTTATCACCTGTGGCCACCTTACCACCTGCTGAACCACTGCAACTATACTTGCACCCAACTGTTACATTAGACCATTGTATTGCATTCTGCTTTACAAAGTAATACACAAGGAAAAGAAGAACAAAGAACTTCAGACACACCAAAACACTAATGTGGTACTCCTCAGGGGTAGCTTCCTCACCTAGAAAGACACAAGGATATACACATTCATGGTAACTTTGTATTAGAGAACAGAAAGAGTAAATTGAGGTAAGTTTTAACTGGCTTTGGCAATGGTAAGTGCTTATGGCAATCGAAAGTAAGTTATGGTAATTGTACATGATGGCAAATGTCACTAAATCCGATGAGATTCATTTGCTAGCCCTGCCCAACAGGTTGCTACCATGCAGACTGTGTGTTCAAAGAGCTTCGGGTTGGCTGAAGTAACAGGAGGAAGGTGAGATCACCCTACCATCGAGAGCAGCCTGTTGATCGCCATAGCTCGCTGCTGGGCTTCCATGTGAGGCATATCATTCTGAATCACCTGGTCTGTGATGCCATGAGGAAACTGATGACACAGCTCAATAATCCTGGGAGAGGATGAAAGCAAGTTCAAAATCATGTTCTGTTGCATCCAAAACCAAACAGTATTAGAGTCAGAATGGAAGAGAGGGAAAAGAACAACAGTTCAAGGAAAAAGCACCCATGAACTGTTTCTCAGTCATATCTATTGAAGGAACTTAGCATCGCTCTCTGTGCTGACATATACTCCTCTGCAACTGCTGGACAAACTACCTTGACTCTCTGTGACAACACTGAACATGGTGTTTCTCCATTTTACTTTTATGTTGCTCCCATTAAGTACATGGATTTAAAGCTCCCTGTACAGTTTCATTATACAAAAGGTTCTGATGAACAAAAAGTTCTGATGAATTGCTAGCAAGTCAGAGAATGCAAATACAGATGAAATACCATTTAGAAACCATTAACTTAAAGCAGAGATGTTGCAATTCCCCTTTGTAAAATTTTCAAAGAACAGAAAGACACCAGAGCAGCTGAAGGTAACCTGACCCCATCTTTCACTAGCACCTATGCACCTCCCATCCTGTGATGGATGCACTCAACCCCCTAACCAAACTCACAGTAGTTTGGTACAGGCTCCAAAGGAGGTAAAGGCCTGAGCCATAGCCAGGCCAAGAACTCCTCTAGGAAGCCCACAAAGGAGCAGAGTGACACAGTGAGCATCAATGCATATCAGCTTGGAACACCAATCATGTGATTAACTTGTGAAACATGTGAAAATCACATGTTTTTTCCAAGACTCATTTACCAATGAGCAAAGAGAGTTGTGGGTACAAGCTGTCTCATGAGTATCTTTCACACTGTATGCAATTTGACTACAAGTCGACCACTTTATTCCATAAATCTGACAGCCTAAGTGAGCCTTCTTTGAGCTCTCCCCACTAAGCGTGGCTGCTTTGAGCTGGGACACCTCTCAAGGTTACTCCTTGAGGCAAAGAGACCTTTCAGCAATGATTGATCTTTGGATGAGTCCAATTCAAGTTCTTACAAAATTCCAACTGGACTACACACCAGGTGACTCTCCCCTTGAGCAGGGATGCCTCTCAAGGTTTGAAATTCCTTACCTGAGACTAAGAGATCCTTCTTTACCCAAGGCAGAGGGACCCCTTACTTGCAACAGACCCTCAGTAAGTGACTGATAGCATGCTGAATTAATACTAATAAAACTGATAGTATTATTATAAACTTTGCATAGATCATTCAATTAGAAGTAAACTATTGTCCAAGACTAAGATCAGATCTAGCTGCACCTAAGCTCCAGCAGGCACTTAGAAAGCAAGCAGTCTAAACCTTGAGACTCTAATGGGACAGTCTCCCTTACTCTCTTTGCATCTCCAGTCTCTGTGTAAATCATTCTAACTTGATTTCCTTTGCCTGTATCTTCCACGTAGTAATACAGTGAACCTTGCCATCGAACTTTGTTAAGTCGCACTTTTACAAACTCATATTAAAACCACTTTTGCTAATACCTCTGGCAGTGATCCTTTAAGCGATATAAATCATTCATACGTGACACAGCCACAGCACTAAAGACAGTGCCCCTACAACAACAAGCCTCTCCTTCATGATCTATTTCTTGACCACCACCCCCAGGGTATCCTACCCACCCCCCTCACATCTCTGCCACCTCCTACCTCCTCCCCCCGCCCCAAACACCTGCCGCCCCGCCTCCCACCGGGGCGGCCCCCAGCACCTGTTCTCTATATCCATGGGGTCGGGGACCTCCGGCTTCACCTTCACCTCCGCCATGGCGCAACAGGCCCACAGCGCCGGCCGCGCCAGCAGCCCTCACCCTGCGCGAAGGCGGCGCGGAGAGATGACGTCAGAGACGCGCGGCGGAGGGGGCGGGGTCGGTTGCTAAGCGGCGAG